CCCCCCCCCCCCAATGTGGCATGCTCAATTTTCCCGTTGCTACAGGCTCCTGTGATAAACTATGGCTTATTTGGCTGCAGGGCAGATTAAGGTTTTTCAAACCGTGGTTTACCGTATCTGGGCCAAAAGAGCAGCCTAAAAGCTTCTGATCTCTGTCCCTCACCAAAAAAAAAAAGGGGGGGAGGAAGCTTACCAGTGATCCTGCCATACAGATTACTATCTAAACTCAAGATTCACTATCTGAACCCAAGTCAGTTCCTGATCAAGGTACCTGCTTACAGGCACTAAAACATAAGCTCAGGATACATTTAGAAATCTGTGTGTGTCCTTTTTTTTAATAATCCCTGTCTCTTTGTATTCAGAAATCTGAGCAATCATTTAGGAGTCAATCTCAAAACAATTTATTCATAGTGTCACTTGTAGTCCATCCACCCCAGTATAAAAGAACAGGCTCTCAGTTTGCACTTCAAACCTAACAATATTCAAACAGAGAAATCCAAGGAAGAAAGGGAGACACGCTTCCAACACACAGTCTCTGCAGGTTTCCAATATGAATTAATCAACCCCCCCCAAAAAAATTTTAAAGGAAGATTAGAATTAATCTTATTTACATTATTTCTCCCATTTGTCCTATCTACCCTTCCTCAGAAGAAGCATTCAAAGAAAGTGCCGTGCAGGTGGAGGATGAACCAAACAAACAAACTTCGCATAGCAACGAGGCCCCTTCAAAAAGACCTTGTTCTTCTGTTTTTAACTGCAGTGTGATATTACCCTATTCTTTTCTCCTCTCCCCCATCCCCAATCCAGGGTAGCGACCTCCTATCTTCATAACCTCTTCCTTTAAAATAATTAATAGCAGGAAAACCTGTTGATCCAAGAACAGCCTGGTGCATTCAAGGACAGTTATATCATTTATGTCATACCAGAGGTATACCTGCAGGTTGGGGCAGGGAGGAAATTTAGAGCAAACACCGGAAAAGCGTCCATACATCTTTTTCTAAAGGTCAGCGGCCGAAATCCAGTAGTCAGCTGCAACCAGAGTAGACCCAACAGTGCTTACAGAGCAGAAGACTCACCAGATCACCCCAATTCGTTGGGCTTCCCCCCCCCCTGCAAACTACCTCTGGATTTCAGCCGCTGTAAAGGTAATGGAAAGTACAGGATTTGCACCTACTGATGTACTTTTGGACACTGAGAAGCAAAGATACAACTTAAGACAGCCGGTCAGTTCAGCAGGCTCTTGGCAACGTCTTGACATCTACAAACACACACACACACAGCTTGAAACAGCAGTCAAGAGATGAATATATACATATTCTGAAAGATCATCATTAAATACTGCTTTTAATGCAATACCCCCAAAAGCGCACTGATGACGTCCTAAGAAAGAAATGCATATATATTTATTTCAACGCTGCCTGCAGTTGCTCGATAGCACAGGCTAACAGAAATCTAAAGGTTTACTCTAAACACATGCTCTTAGGGACACGTTAACAACATTATGTCTCCGCTTCTTCGTCGCTGCCTTCGACGCTGCTGTCTGTCGATGCGGTGGCGTCTTCCCTGGTGCCTTCTGCGTTATCCTTCTTCTCCACGGCTTCTTCGTTCAGGCCATCCTCGGCGGCCCCGTTATCTTTCACGGGCTGAGCTCCTTCAGGCGGCTGCTTGCTACTCTCCGAAGAATCGGCCTCGGAGGCGGTTTTGGGCGTTCCTGCTGCCGGATCGCCTATAAAGGTTTCCCAACCTTTCAGTCTCTCTTCACGTTCTCTCGCCGTCTCTTCCACCTGGGGTTGACATGGAAATTGTAAGTATCACATGAGGGGTGGCGGGAGGGGGGGGAGAAGCATTTAGGCTTGGAAAACTTCATCCCCAGGACTTAAAAAGTTGTGTCCTATAATATTTTATACTGCAAGAATGCCCCACTAAACTTCTGCTAGCCTCAACTATATTATTATCCTAAAACTTTTATTGTTTTGAAGTAGAGTGAATTTGGTAACTATTTCAGACTACTCTACCGCCTGGTGCAATGGTTAAACCGCTGTACTGCAGCCAAAACTGTGCTCACGACCTGGGGTTCAATCCCAGGTAGCCGGCTCAAGGTTGACTCAGCCTTCTATCCTTCCGAGGTCGGTAAAATGAGTCCCCAGCTCACTGGGAGAAATGTGTAGCCTGTATAATTAACTTGTAAACCACCCAGAGTGCTTGAAGCACTATGGGGCAGTATATAAGCAGCACGCTTTGCTTTGGGATAATATTTTATACTGCAGGAATGCCCTACTAAACTTCAGCTATATTATTTACCCTAAAACTTTTATTGTTTTGGAGTAGAGTGAAATTTTTTAAAAACAGGGGTTTCAAAAAGGCTGCTGGATAAGAAGAACGTACGTATCACAGCCACACACCATTGAAAAAAAAATCTCCTGAACTAGCAAACCAAACGTACCTGATAGTCAGTTACACCGTCCCACGTTTCCACACTCAGCTGGCGCCCACCAAACCACCGCCCGTTGAGCGCCAGCTTGCAGACATCAGCCTCTTCTGCCTCTTTGAAGGCCACAGACGCAACACCGTCAGGGTGCCTCTATAAAAACAGAAGACGCCCCAAAGCTATCAGATCCAACCCTAAACCTTTAAAAGAACAACGGGTTTCAGAGGCCGCTCCGGGACTCCTGAGAACATTTTAAAAACAGCTCAGCACTAGATCACGGTTTCCAAAAAAACAACAACGAACTTTGAAATCGTTTTGTCTATTATGGCATTCTACAGCTAAATATTTACACCACCTATTGAAGCCTCTTTTGAACTAATCTTTGCTGTTTTCTTGACTGTTTCCCCCAAAAAACCCACACATTCCCCCCCCCCAAATAACCATTAACAGGGAATAAAACACAAGTGCGTGGATTAGATCAAGCCACAATATATACCTACATCGAATATAAGGACTTTCTTTGCTTCTCCAAACTTTTCACATTCCAAACGGAGATCTTCCCTGATCTCGTTGAGTACCAACGGATCCTCCTACAAAAGACGCGCAGTTAAGACGGTATTTTAAAAGCATTTCCCAACCAGCATCAAACATATACTTTCGCAATTCCACAACACTTTTATTAGATTAACCTGAAGAGTCAGAAAAGAAATAGGAAGGTTTTCCTAATACTCTTCTTTTGCCTGGATATTAATTGACCTCACCCACCACAAGAGGGGAGGAAGAGAAAATGATGTAACTGGACACAAGAAAAGGTCAACGCCTGTGGCTTGCCATACTTCCAAGGCCAGTGCTCTGGAGGCAAGGCTATGCCTGATGTAGCTGCGACACGGCAGGCTTCGGTGAAGCAATGGCCACATTCTCTTTGAACACACAAAAGCCAACAGCTGTTAATAACTTGCATCTCCAATGGCTGGCTGGCTGGGTTTTGCTTAATTCTGTGGACTTGCTCACTTCTTGAACCTAGGAAGCATTTATGCTACAGCTTCTGTTCTGGAAACGAGCTTTCCTACCTCAAAATCCTTCGGATGAAACATGTTCCTGATGATGATGACACGTTCATGCCTCAATCGCGCTGTGCCCTCTTTTCTCTCTGGCCTCCAATCCAGCAGTCTAATGAAATGAAGGAATAGTAAGAGTTTGGAGCTGATCTCTTCAGTTTCTAAAAGTATTTGTTGAAAAAAACATATTAATTGGACATTTCCGGCCATGGAGTTTCTGCAGCGTCAGTTTGTTAAATTTAATGTTTCAAAGCTACACTTCTAGCAAACTGAAACAGAAAGTGCATTTGTAAAATCACCCAGAACAGGAAAACTAAGTGTATCTCCAGTTATAAGTCTGCTCTTGTAAAATAGTGACTGGACTTTCAAGAACAAGATATAATGCAGTTCCTGAGAACGAGAACTGGGGAAACCTCTGGTCCTGGGAACCAAATCCAGCATCCTCACATTTTCCCAGTGGCCCTGACAGCTATGCTCACAGCATAGTTTTCCCCCCATCCTGAAAGGGTAAGATGACCTCCTGAAACTTAATTAAAGACAGTAAGCCCTTAAAGCTATAAATACGCTGGTATTTCTTGTCCCACCCTTTTGCCTCTGGCCCTGAAAAGAGCCTCTTAAAAATGGACCGCAGCCCCCAGGATGGAGACGGTCCTTCATTCTTGCTGAAAACTGCAGCAGGCAACTTTGGCAGATCCTGATGACCCACACGGATCCTCCAGGGGATGAACAGATAGCAAAACCCGAGAAGAATCCAAAACAATGAAACCCGAAACGTCCACTTCTAGTTTTGAAAAACAGGAAATATAGGCTGTTGAGTGCTGCAAAGGAGGCTTTGACCCATTTATAAGTGGTGAACTGCATGCCATGAAGGCTCCCAAGAGTAACAACACTCTACTTTTTTGCTGGGGAAACTGTTATTTTAGCAGGTCATTCAGGGGGAGGGGCAAGGGCTGCAATTTTCTTGCTTCTACGAGGAAAACCTATGTGTCTCGTGGTTAAACTGCAATCCTGCAGCCAAAACTCTGCTCACAACCCGGGTTCAATCCCAGATGGCCCACTCAAGGTTCACTCAGCCTTCCATCCTTCCGAGATCAGTAAACTGAGTTCCCAACTCGCTGGGGGAGGGCAGAACAATGTGTAGCCTGCATAATTAAATTGTGAACCACCCAGAGGCAGCTTTAAACACTTTGGGGCGGTATATAAGCAGCACAATTAGCATTGCTTGCTTTACTTCTGCTGTTAATACTCAGGTAAAGGTGGAAGACAATTACTTAAGAGAAACATAGCCCGGTCATGGTTATCACAGGCAGAACACAAGATATCAAGCAAATCATTCTGAACTTCTTACAAGGTAAGAGAAACTCACAGAATAAATAAATGCTCACATGCATTTGATAGTTTAAAACTATTTTTCATTTGTTTGAGAAAAGGAGATAACCAAAGGTTTCAAGCTTAAGCATGCTGCATTCCCACACATTTTAATGAAAAGCTAGTGTGGCTTATATAAAACGGCTACCCACTTTTGCTGCTGAGACAGCTTCTTCTTGTAGTCTTTACACTTCTTCCTCTTTTTGCTGGCGTCGTACTCCCCCTTCAGCTGGAACTGTGCAACTTCCACGTGCATTTTGTAGCCTCTAATTTCATTCTCATCCAATAATTTTAATGCAAGTTCAACAGATTCTCTCTATTAAAAAACAAAAAAGAGTAATGTTGAAGATTCTGCTTTTCACCAAAAATATTGGATTGTAAAGAAGGAAATGTTTAGGAACAAAAGTAAAAACAAATAATAATCTGAGGAAAGCTTGTATCTTGAGTAAGTAACATTTGTAACATCACCGTTGAAATATAATACTGTACAACTGACCTTTAAATAACAACAAAGCCCGTCTCCTTTAAGATTCCCCTCTCTGTCTTTGTAAAGCTTAATTTTAGGCTCCTCTGTTTGAGGGTCACGCATCACGATGCCACATTTTGACATGACCTGCACAAACTCATCTTTCGTAATGTCTGGAGGTAAACCTGGAGGAATAAATTTGAACAAACACAAATGCAAGAAACAAACCCATCAGCACCACCCAATTCAATTCACAATTTAAAGAACTATGCAGAAGAGTCTTCATTTTTCATAAAGATGTCCTGGAGCAAGTTGTTGTACGTATTAGCAGACTTCCCCATTGCCCCTCTTTTGGCATGACCTGCTCATTTTGAGGCTCATGAGAAGACTGGTAGACGCCAGCAATTATGGGTGTTCTAGAACTGAACTGCCGGATAGCTCAGTGGTCTAGGCATCTGGCTGCCTATCCAGAGGTTGGGAGTTTGATTCCCCATTTTGCCTGTTCTTCGACTACAACTCCCAGAAATCCTGGCCAACACAGCTGGTGGTGAAGGCTTCTGGGAGTTTCAGTCCAAAAACATCTGGGGACCCAAGATTAGGTGTAGGAAACACTGGACTGGATGGACCATTAGCAGCTTTCTAACTAGGAAGAGAAAACTAGACTGATGGAATTTGTTGGTGGTTGCTAATCTCATACTTTCAAAACCTAATATCTCCTCCTTAATTGGACACAAGATATGGAACAGTTAGCACAAAGAAAAGTATAAATTCAGCGATGCAACTTTAAAAGTCACTTGACTTATTCATTTTTCACTTCAGCAGCCCAGCACGAACCACAAATGTTCCCAATTTAAATCTTTCCAACAGACAGCTTCACTTATTGTGTTCTTCTCATACAGTTTTCCTCCTCAGTATCATTCCATATTTTCCCTCACCCCCTTTCACATGGATAACTTTTATTAAAGCTGTCAACTAAACACAACTCTTTCCCCCAATTCGAGAAAGGGGTTGTGGAAAACTGCAAAGTGCCATGCCGTCAGAAGTGGCATTGATAAGATTATATCTAGGAAATGTTCTATTTGTATCCATAATACTCAACACATTTCTCAACATAGTCCTTTCTGGTAAGCTGCCAAGGGTCCTCACCTGTCACATAGACATTTGTGTTTCTCTGGTCTTCAACGTGAAACCATCCTAAAGAGGAGATCAGGATTAGTTACATTGCACTGCTAAACAAACAGAACAGTTCTTCGGATTAGAGTTCACAAGAGACCCTACAGGGCACCTACTAATCCAGGAGGTCGTCCTGGGCTAGACAGACAAAGGAGTTAGCGCCGATACAAGGAGGATTCCTATGTTCACACCTAGCAGGCTCTCAACAGAAATCACTGAAAGTTGTCTGCACAAGGGATCCATTAACATTCCACTTTCAGAACAAATACAGTAAGAGTGTATGGACAGTTAAAAATATTCAGTATGAACACCCCTTTGCACATCACTGCTGAGGCTGTTAAATTCCCAATGCTGCAGAAACGGACACGTCTTCTTAAGCAGTAGAGCTACTTCTAAGCCATGCACATCAAGGCCCTTGCCTGCATCCGGTTTTCTTTTCTCTCCTTTCTGTTTCGCATCTTTTGTTTGAGATGCTTTGGGGTCCGTCGGCTTCTGAGTTCCTCGTGCCTTTGCATCAGCCGGAGGTTTAGATACGGCCTTCGTCACAGATGCCGACGAATCCTCTGAGCCTTCGGTGGGGAAGCCGTAGTTAGCATGGTATGTCGCCAGGAAGTCTTCGGTGACCTAAAAAGAAGAAAAGAGGAGGAAGCTGAACTAAGTATTCAGCCAGAATTATTGCAGGACATGAATGGCCTATTCCACCGGACTGCAGGGGGTATTACCATCCCCTTTTCAAAACCATCAGGGGACAGAACTTCGTTTATGGTTGTGAGAAAGCTATTTCAGACTTGACACAGCCCCAGGGAAAGTGAAATAGACATGCAAGGATCAGCTGTGCTCCCTGGTAGCAGGACTGGCCATTTTGAGCCCCCCCTTTTTTTTTCAGCCAATGGTCAAAGAATTCCCACCCCCAGTTTAACCCTAAGATCAGTCTATGAAACAAGTAAAATAGATCATGTTCTATTTATAACATTATGGAGCAGCGACCTTTCAGAATTATACTACAACAGCCAGCCTGGGGGAATCCAGACGTGCTTTCTTTAATTAGTAAAAGGATGCTGCTCAAAGTACGTTAGGTTAACCTATTTACAAACAGCAGCACCTTGACATATCTCTGAGATCATGTCATCAACTATTTATGTTGTGTGTTTCTCCTCAGCGAACTACTTTCCTGTAAGGTTATCTCTGGAGGACTTTGGATCCATGTGAAGTGCTTTATACCGAGTCACCCAGCTTCATGCTGAAAGAAACTCACATATTTTCAGGAGCACCTGCTTATAAATTGCTCAGCAGCAGAGCAGTGAGACCCGACTGTGATACACAAGATCTGGGTTCAAATATCACAAATGGCCCAAATTATGCAGGCAAGCTGCTTCTTAGCAAAATGGAATTAACAATACAAATAAACAATAATGTAAGCTAATAATGACAACATTCCTAACCGGACAGTTTGAATTAACTTTGCGCAACTGACATGACACGCCAATCAAACACAGACCACAGCTAAATGTGAGAGTAAAATAACCCCCCAAACCTGTGCCTCAAGGTTGCCAGACACATCCCGCAGAAACATACTGTCAGACATGAACACAGTACTGAATTCTCTCCTCCTAACACACCAACAATTAAGAAGAATAATCAGACCAAGCCATCAAACTTTATTACTGCCTTTCACCTACTTTTTCCAGGGCTGCCTTTAGTTTCCCAACCTCACACCCACTTTCCCATGACACTATCAAGATGGTTTTAGCTTTAAATGTTGTCTTTTAATGACGTAAACCACATTGGGTCCTTTTTAAGGAGAAAGGTAGGGTAAAAATATTATAAATAAATAAGGTCCAGTCTGAAAACCACCAAGGAAGAAGGAAGGGAAGCCCCAGTCAGATGGAAAGAGGCAGAAGCCTATTGTATTATGTTTTGTACTCTCTTGGTTTTATTTGTAACCCTAATTTTACAGGGTTATTATATTTTATCTTGCTGTAAACTGCCCAGAACAGTGTGCTGCACTAATGAGATGGTATATAATGAAATAAATAAATAAATAGAAGGAAACCTCTAGTGCAGGCAAGGCTACTTCTGCAGCCCCAAGAGTTTTAAATCAAATTGTCCTCATCTTAGAACTGCAGAGCTGGTCTTTAATTAGATTTTCAGAAGAATTTGGAAGCCTTTATTGGCCCTTCTGGCAAAGAAGGAAAAAGATGGAACTGGTAGTATGTGGGTTTGAACTCTAGAGACCTGGATATAAGTGAGGCTATTCCTGACCGTGGACTAATTTCGATGCTGTAGATACTGACTTTGAAGTATTTAGTATAAATAAAGGAAGGGTTAATTAGTAAATCGTGTAACAAGCAGTAAGAAGTTCTAGAACATCCTTGGTTTGAAGAATTTGTAGAAAGTGGTTTGCTTCTATTTGAACTCCCTTCCCCCCGCCCAAGTATATTGACCATATAAGAAACTTAATAAAACATTTAATAATACAAACAAAAACAAAGAGCTGCAGAGCTGGAAGGGACCCTCTGGGTCATGGAAGTCCAGCCACTGTCAAGGAGGCCTCCGGCACTGCAGCCAGAGACCCAAACCAGTGAGCTGTTCTTCTTCTTCTTCTTCTTCTTCTTCTTCTTCTTCTTCTTCTTCATCATCATCATCATCATCATCATCATCATCATCTTAGAACTGGGAAGGGCCCTCTGGCTCATGGTGTCCAGCCCCTGTCAAGGAGGCCCAAGGGGGAGGTGATTCGAACTCCCAACCTCTGGCTCTGTAGCCACAGGGCTATTCAGCCGT